CGTGCTAGGAGGTATAGATTTTTTCTCGTCCCGGGGTTCGGACTCTTGATAGTTGGTCAATTGAACCAGAAGCTTTCAAAGTAAAATCTTTAGTGTTGATATCATTTACAAATCTTTTTCAGTTTCAGTGTGGAGATAGATATATTGTTTTGGAATGATAGAATATTTTCCTAAACAAACATGATAAATCTGGCGGACAAAAGGAAAAGGATCACCAACTCTCTGAAAAAACTTTCAGGGAAAGGTTTGCATCTTGGACTTTCATGTCTCTTTACAGTGAAAGAGACAACCAAATGGTGGGTCTCAGCTAGTTTTAGGTAATCCTTAACCAAAACAAGGTGGTACATCAGTTAGGAGAATATTTGTTAACAAGAGTAATACCGACTAATATCTGTGTATTTTTTTTGTTAAGTTCTGTCTTACTTGGTAGCTGGTGTATCCCTCTTTTTATCTCTCTTTAGGATGCTCTCAAACCGAGAATCTGCTCGGCGCTCTAGGAGAAGAAAACAAGAACAAATGAATGAACTTGAAACTCAGGTCCTGCCTTGCTTCATTGCATTTTTCTAGTTAGTTGTCTTTCTGTTTGCAGTCCTTCAGGAATTTACAGAGAGATGTATCTTTCTGTAGGTTGGACAATTAAGGGGCGAACATTCAACGTTACTTAAACGTCTTAGTGACATGAATAACAAGTATGATACAGCTGCTGTTGATAACAGAATCTTGAAAGCCGATATTGAGACACTGAGAACAAAGGTACTAGATTCCACTATTTTTTATGCCCCTTGACCTAAAAGCTAATGATTCAGAAAAATTGTCTCACATAACCACTGGAGAATCTTATAGTGAAAGCGTTCAACATCTTTGTATGCAGTAAAGGTTTTCCATCCGGTTGCTTTTATTTAACACAGACTCTTGTTATGATCCGATGTTATAATCTTCTTTTTTTACAAGAAAAATGTTTTGCTAAATATATTCTTTGCTTCATAAAACTTGTGCAGGTGAAAATGGCGGAAGAAATGGTGAAGAGAGTGACAGGAATGAACCCTTTGCTTTTGGCAAGATCGAACACAACTAATATTGGAGTACCGGTTGACAACACATTGATGGATTCCTCCAGAATCAGTGTAATGCCAATGCAGCCAAACTCTAACCATATTATGAAACCAGCAATCGGTAACATCACAGGAACTACACCAAACCAAAGACTGGAGAACAATTTCGGGAACAATACTCTTGTTCATCCGAATATGAATCCGGTGACTGTTACTGGAGCAGAAAAAGTGACCAAATTGCCCCCCTCGGATCAGGTGAGCCATTTTGCTCCTGGTCCTAATCGTTATGAAAGCCTTTCCCATTGGAATCCAGCTGTGGCGAAGAATAAACCGTAGAAATGAGGTGATATCGTGGTAAAGGTAAGATTCAAGAAGCATTCTAATGGTGAGAGCTTCTGGTTTATGATGTAATAACGGATCCATCTTAGATGGTGTTGCTCGTTGTTTTTGTAACTTGACAACATATATATTGCTACTCGAAAATTGGTCAAGCATCTTAACTGTTCAGACATTAAGTTATGTAGGGTTTGTTTTTTCTGTAAATAGATACGAATGTTGCAATTATCGATAAAGAATATTGTGTATACAAGTATTTTCTCACAGTGAGAATAGCAATTCAGAAAGAATTCCAACCAGACAATCATTGTGAGAGAGATAAAATGGATCATTGATTGCCACTTGTAACAGAGCATTTTGGTTCGGTTTTCGAGTAATATCTTCTCATCAGCATTACACGCATATATTCTCTAGAAAAGTCCCCTTCGAGTGATGAACCCTCCAAGTCGGACAGGAGTTTCTGGTGAATGTGCGTCTGCTTGTATTATACCACTCTGTGAATTAAGTGTTTTAGATCATAATTCCACAAACAGAACCATTTGATCCAATCTGTCCTAAGCATGCAAAGGAAAATGACAGACCTCCTGTTATTTGGACGGGCAGTAAAACGACAACAGTCGAAAGTTGCCCTAGGGAATAATTTCACAACTCTATGTTGTCTGAGTACACAAGAAGAGAACTCGGTTTGTTAGACATTTTTAAATGTAAAATTGAAAAAGCAATTTGGACACTTCTAATAAAAGCATATAAAGCCTGATAGACTAAGCTGACTTATTTAACCTAAAAGCGTCCATGTAAAAGGTGTGCGCCTAGCTTTGGATGTGAGGCCGAGATGTTTGACCCGATACTTATAACGAGTTGAGTTCATCCAAACCAAATTGAAAGTATATGTGGATTGAATAGTCCATAAAAACCAAATTAAATCAAATAATTTATATATATATATATATGCATATTGATTCAAAATGATTCGTTTTGATTATTCATTTTCAATTAGAATCAATTTTTGATTCGGATTCAACTCACGTCATTTTGAATTGGATTTTTATTGATAAATTTCTTCTGTTAAAATATATTTTCTCTTTTTTTTTAATTATTAATTCAATCAGTTACATGGTTTGAATGAATTTGGTTATGAATAAACTAATTAAAATTTTGTAATCACATCACATTAAATGGGTTTAATAAGTTTACCCATTTAATAAATAATCATAATAATTTCAATACATGAAACCCATTTAATTAAAATAACTCAACTAACTAACCAAATAGAGTTGCTATTATGTTGGGTTGGATACACCATCTGACCCCAACCCATTTCAGAAAAATAACGAGAATAACAAACGAAGCAAATGGAAATTACAATTAAACGAAAAGAAAAAGACAATTGCCAGTTCGATCGTTTGAAGGGTGAATTAGCCAAGTAATATTTCTCGATGGATGAAATAAAGTGTCAAGCTTCCCTTTATACGGGGAATACAACGTCATGCACAAACGGAAACCTAGAATACGTAATATCGGAAAATATCTTGCAAGGAAGGTGCGAATTCAAGCCAACTTTCTCAATACTTGGTTCCAAATGCGAACACCAAGATCTGGGGTCTCCTGGCATTCGACTGTCTGGTTTCGGGAGTCTGTACCACGATATTCTGTTCTTTTGTGGCAGGTTCTTCAAGGCAGACTCCCAACACGTAACCGACTCATACGATGGGGAATGAATGTTATTCCAACTTGTTGCCTTTGTGGGAGTGGCGAGGAAACTCACGACCACCTTTTTATGTGTTGTCCCTATAGCGCTTTGCTATGGACGTCATTTGCAAACAGGTGCTGGAGAGACCCACCTACAGGGCTGATTGAATGTATCCCTTGGTTCACGACGAACACCAACGACACAACAAGGGACCGACCTATCATTGTCAAACTCCTTTTTCAGACGGTGATATATACTATTTGGCAGGAAAGGAACAAACGCATATTTAAGAATGAATCAAATTCAGCGGAGATGATCCGATGGAAGGTTGACAAAGCTATGCGGAACGTCTTATTGTCACTACGGTTGCAGCAACAAGGAAGAATATGCTCAATTTTTGAGAATTGGTACTACCTGATGCGCCAAAACACGAGTAATAACAATTGATTGATGCTACTTTTATGATTCTGTCACTTTGACCACTTGCTTTGGGAATTCCTTGTATCTTTTTTACTTTCCTACAGGTCTAATGACCTGATTGTACTGAACTCTACATTTTGATAAATACACACTCACATTAAACCAAAAAAAAAAAAGGTAAACAAACGGAATTCCCCAATTGATAGACCCGCGGTCAGATATACCAAGGGAAATGTCGACGAACGAAAAGAAAGGAAAAAAAACGATAAAGCCAACACTAACGGGGCTTGTCCCGATCCACCGTTCAAGGGGTAAACAGCCTCCAAATCGAACGGCATAGAATTTGTTTCAGGAGTGATTAAGACCACTTCTTAGTGGCAGACATCCGCATAATTAAGCCGAACAGACAGAGGTATCAAAGCGAGAAACGTAAGATACGAACTTGTAGAAGAAAAGATTCTTAACCTCATAAAGCTGGCGGAGAACGTATCGCCTACTGGGCTTTAGCGCCAGACTGTAGACCCGCTTGTACTTTGCTCTGGAAATGGGCTTCCAATCTGGGAAAAAAAGTACATAAATGTCAGAAACTAAAGTGGAAACGTAGGAAGAAAAGGAAAAGGCAAAGAAGGACGAGTAGAGGAGCTAGTTGTATTGCCTGGTCGAGCATTTGTAGTATATAGTGTCAGGAGAGTTGTAAGTTCTAGCATTGTTGAACATCCGTCTTACATCAGCGACAAACATATCGAACGTCACATAGTACTGCTCCGACTCAACCCTCTTCGACATTGTCTTCAGATCTGTGTTACAACAAATAATCGGTCACTAGAGAAGATAACAAAAGGAGAAAACAGTAGCCGGGACAATAGTAATTCCATAATTATACTTTTGTACAACAGATGGCGACCCATTATCCAAAGAAATTATAAGCATGCAAGCAGAAGCAGACTACACTTACGAGAACGATCAAATGAATATTTTCCTTATTAGTACATTACCACCTCTGGTTTATACTCCAATACAATTTGAAGGCATGAAAAATAAAACCGTCCTGCAGAGCATCTATTGAAACTCAATGATAATGGTTTCCTGTTTCTGTATGCTTTTAGTATCACTGTTCAACTAGGTTTGACTAAACAGCACGTGTCACCTAAGAGATTAGATTGATTCCTCTATTATTTCCCAATCACACGGAAGGCAAATATAAAAAGGATGATTACACATATTCAAATGCATCTGACCAAGCCTTGCAAAAGACACCAAAATGCATCCCACAATTTGTATATTGAGTATTATCTTACCAACAGGATCTTTAATGATGTCATAGTAATCAGGGACATCACGAGCATCAACTGGCTCTTTGAATGGCCAAGCATCAACATGGTCATGCATAGACTGCTTCAACAGAAAAAACAGCAGATGAGAGTTGACGGATATAAGAATCAAGTGCATATAGAGAAACATGCCTAAGAGGTCTGTCCTGCATAGTTCCAAATTAGTAATGCCTGACACAAGTCATGAAAATATATGAAGAAGCCTAACAAGAAATGAGTTCAGAGAAAATAAAATTACGGATGTCCTAAGACGACAAACTATCTGATGATACTAAGAAAATAAGTTTAAAATGCCCCAATCTTGAAAGACTTCTGATTCTGGAACTAATAACTAGAGATTGGACCAAATGTTTTTGTAAGGTACACAACATGAAGCATATAAAGCAAAGGACATATAACAGAAACCTTTAACAACGAGCGCATAAATGCAGTCAACTGCTTTTGATTTGTCGCACTATCTGCAGAATTATTAAATATTTTGAACCGAGTATGCCCATACTGATCTGGAGTCCAACCTGCTTCCCCTGGTATATGTCCATAATTTCTGTTTTAGAACCTCCAAAGCTATAAAGAAACATAACTTGACGAAGAATCTTATAGAGTAAAAACCTTAGTGTTGTAACACCACAAGGGAAACTGTTTTAAATATATTAACAGGATTAATGTGTATAACCACTATCGCACACATCAAGTTGGATTCATCACATATTAAAACTTTGTGCTCTAGTGGCAGGTGAATGTATTTTCCATAATTCCATCTGTTTATAGACTGGAAAGCAATGAAATGAAAGAGCGCTAGGCTCTCTCTTTGGCTGAGCTTGGGATCCATTGCTGTTTGGGTGTGGAAGTTTGAAAAGAAGAGTGAGGAGATATGGGGCCAGAGAGAGAGCAGGAAAAAATGCAAGATATTTCAGACAACTACGGAATTTCATTTATGCAGATTCATTATCCACAGAGCAAATCCCTAGAGGATACATCAAATCAAATGCACGGATAAATTGCAGTAATAACATAAGAAGCCACAAAGGAACAGGGAAAAACGTTATAGATAATTACTATTTGACCAGAAAACTTCAACCAGTGCCACAAGGTAGGATAATGACTTACTTAAACCAGGTATGTCCTCAACTTTGACAATCTTTCTAGGAATCCCGGCTTCTTTCTGCATGATGGTCAGATCAAATTTAAGGGTCTCATGGCTCCATATCAGGACATCACCATGAAATCCACAAAAGCTGCAGAAAATACAATGCCACTACCTTCTGAAAATCAATTCCTGGATACACATTCTGACAGTTCGACAACTCTCTTATCCTTTCATCAATTGCCTACCATTATTAAAATAACAGGGGAATAAGAATAATATACCAAACTTGACTTCAAAACATGTTGGAAGTAAAGTAAAAATAAGCTATATATAATGTACAATCAATCGTTTTGAAAAATAAAAATTGAAATTGAAATTGCTGAATTGAGAAAACATTTTGAAAAATAAAAGAGCCTTAAGCGGCTTACCTGTCTTTGCTGACGAATCATACTTGATAAATCTGTATATGGAAGCTTTGGATCAATTTTGCATTCCATAAGAAGGCCGCCATCATAGTCTTTAATATACCTAGTAAAACACCAGAATTTGTTGAACTTTAAGTTGCACCAAGAAGGAGCAAAAAAAAAATGAAAATTTCCTTCTCATTGTGCCAAAAAACAAAAAACAGATGTCTGGGAGACCGATAAGCACAATTGCCTATCATAGAATTGCTTTGACAACATAATTTGCACAACACTCATGCAGGCAACAAACTTTTTCGATTAGGGTGAATTTTGTGAGGTAGAAAATATCTTCAAATTAGTCAACTTTAATCATCTAGACCATGTTTGCATCAACAGCTGGCAACATGCAGACCATAACAATGAGCTAAAAGAGTTCAACAACATAGATCACATACCCATGCCAAATCTCTTTGTCCAAGTAAATCTCTTTAGTAAAACCCTGCACATGTAAAGCTCAAATAGTCTTAACAGACACCTAGTGCACGATTGCAATGAAAACACTGTATCGCTGATTTTAATCCTCACCAAATATAGACTTGACGCATAAGCTGGAAATTAGAACCTTTCGTGATGGGAGAGATAAAGGAGCACTATTGCATGCAAAACTAAAATGGGTGATAACGTGTTTCTACAGACAATAAAGTCAGAAGTAAACTGAGACAAAGGAATCATACACTGTTCCATGAAAAGAATCAACTTAAACCTAGAAAACTGATATTGTCATGCAGAGGTTCTTTGAAAGTTTTTACATATTGTCAAAGAACTTAGAGGCAAAGTAGGAAACACAGTGCCGCTCAAAACCCAGGCTGAATGGCAAACTGCATCATTAGGTATAACGTTATTCTTCATCAAGGGAGAGAAGGGGCAAATAAAACATTCTCTTTCACATAGATTAGGTTTCATGCTTCAACTATGTAATTACCTTTGCACCCCAATACGAATAGACTATTCAGTCACTTCCTTACTTCCAGCCAAGAAATGCACTACAAGTTGGAATTTATTTTGAAAGAAAGAAAGTGCCAGAAATGCAATGAATGTGAATACGCTTACCTGTTTGATAAAATAACCAACAGCATTGTTGTCAGCATAGGTCAAAAAATGAGTTAGTCCATCAACATCTCTTGCATGCTGTTTCAAGTGATTCATCAACCTCGTGCCATAACCTTTTACTTGTTCATCTGCAGTGATGGCACAAAAAGCTATTTCTCCAAACTTTTGGCTGCAACTCCAAGAAAAAATGGAATAAATAAGCATATGACGACAAAAAATACATCCATTATTACATCATATAAATTTCAGAATTATTTTAAAGCAAACAGTGCTTGCTGCTGAGATACAATTCTAGGTCAAAACTAGAAAACTAAGGAGGTAAAAGAAAGCTAGTACAAATTGTTCTAATATTCCAGTAGTATTGAGGAGAAAATTCAGCCAGTTCCAATAACATCAGATCTATATGGTCGAGAAGAATAGGGAACAAAAGAGGACAAAGAGAGAAACATTTGCCAGGTCTTTACCTGTGATATGGGCGATATGTGATCCCACCTACAACTAGATTCCGCCGGAGGACCATGACAGATTTATGTTTTCTGGGTATACAACAGATATTTTGGATATTAGTTCATTCAGTTCCCAGACATGGAATTACAGGAAGGATGTAATTTAGGAGAAACAATAAAACTAACCTCAAACAGAAGAATTTATTTCACTCAATCCAAAAGACGAGTCATTTTATGTATTAGAACGTATACCTATCCATCAGAAGACGAACAATGTACTCCTTGGGCATATTAGGCAATTGTCTTGCGAATATGTTCTTCAACCCTACCAAGCTAGGAGAAATGTAGTGTTCAGTCATAACACAAACAGTCCCTTTGTGAAGAGACTGGAACGAAAAAAGGCCAATACTAATAAGCAATTGAAATGCCGAAACAGCCAAAGATAGATAGAAAATACCAAATCATATGCTCATCAACACCATCATTTGGGTAACAGACAAACTTGAGTCGTCCTGCTTCCTCCTAAAGGAAATATTCTCAAATTTACAAAACCCGTATTAAAAAGAATAATCAGAATGGAGTTTTATAACCAAGATTGAGAACTTAGATCATGATGGTGTTATGAAGAAATGTCCACAACTGTAAATTCAAACATATATGAATCTATATACACCACATGGGCAAGATATGTTACCTCCCTCTTCAAACTCTCTTCTCTCGAAATATAAGCCCCACATGTCTGCAAATTCTCTGTCAATATTTTCACAGATTCATCCTTCGCTACCAACCCAGAAATCGAACTTCCACCGCCAGCTCCAATCGCTCCAGACCCAACAGCAGAAGCTCCACCATCCTTCCCGGCATCAGAACTCTCGAGCTTCACTACAGAATTCTCCGTCTTAAGCTTAGCATTGCGACTCGAACCACCGGCTACAGAACTGGACTCTAGCCGAGCCGCCGTAAACGTGCGGATCGACGAGTCGTTATCCTGGTCAGGAGCAAAGTCGTCCTCGTCTTCGTCGACGACCACATCCTCGGATTCGTCTGTGTCAGAGTCGGAGTCGTTGCCGCGAGCGGAGATGCTCTCGAGGTCGTCGTTAGACGTCAAGGCGCCGTCGCGGGTGTCAGCGGAGAAGGAGGAGGGAGGGAAAGCAGCGGAGGAGGGAGGCGGTGCGTGGTCCTCAGAAGCCGCCGCATTCGCCGCGGCGAGCTTGCGTTTGTGGAGAGAAGATGTGGCGGAGGCAGAGGCCGCGGAGTGAGACGGGGAAGGAGTCTGGGAGCTGCGCGATCGATTTGCAGCGTTGAGGTGAGAAGAGTGAGTGTCCATCATAGAGATCAAGTGGAATCGTGAAGCTTCGCAGCAACGGTGATAATGGCGGAAGAAATCGGGAAATTAGGGTTTTGCAGAAAGATTTTGGGAATTGAATTGGGCAATCTTCAGGATTGCACCTCAACTGTCCCATCTCTATCTCTCTATCTCCGATACACCCGCAAAATATAAAGAAGGAAAAATGACATTTTCCTATACGAATTTAATAAAAAAAAAATTTGGAACCTGTGCCATAAATGTGCATTATTAATTGGATTATAAAAATATAGAACTCGATGAAAAAAAAAAAGAAAAGGTGAAAACTTTGGCATGGTTGTTTCTTTTTTAACAACCCACACGCTCTTGCAATGTTTAATTGAAACCCGAGGTTGATTGCTCCTTTTTACAAACCCTAAATTCATTCCAAAAAGAAGCACACTGATTTTTAAAAAAAGGTGATAAAAGAAGAACAGAGAAAAAAAAAAGATAAAAAGAGAGATTGGGGGAGAAAAGGAAAAAATAAAAAAGCAAAACAAAGCAAATTTAGCTTATACAATAATGAGTCCACCATCACATGATGATGATTCACTTTGGCTCTGCTCGCTAGGGTTTTTCTTGGACAATTACTCTCTTGCCCTTGTAACCCTCTGATCGATCCGGAGTCATCCTTGCCAAGTTCCTTTCCTAGCCATTTTCAGTTCTACACAATCATATCATATGAAAATTACAAATGCTAATCTCATTGCAATTCTTCGTTTGCATGTTTGTGTCCCACTGAATGGTGCCTTGCATCATATGTGAGCTGCCACATGGTCTTCCACGTCAGCAATTAATTGATAATTTCGGATTGTGTAGTTAATTGCATTAAAATTGGATAATTCGTGTAGGTATTTGGGAAATTTGTTAATTGAGTGTAGACATTTGTCAAATTAAAAATTCGTGTAGGAAAATATCACATTTTGATAAATTCGTGTAGGAAAATGTCATTTTCCCTATAAAGAATTATCAAATTACAATCTTAGGTGGAAAAGTCCTTAATATCTTTAATGAAACACAGCGTATAAACAAACGCACATGCACATGAGAAGTAAAACGCAAATGCACGTGAGAAGTAAAATTGAGAAAAAGGCGCTGAATTCTGCGAAAGTAAAAAGGGGAAACTAGGGTTTTTACAATCAGATTTTCGAAACCAAAAAAGAGGGAGAAGCAGTGAGAGAGAAAGAACACTTGAGAGTGCGAAAATTGCCAGAAATATAGCGAAATAGAGAAAACCCAACTAGTGTCGAAAGGAAATGGAGAGTCGAATCAGAGCATTGCACTTGAATCGACCGAAAAATCATGTGACACCCGCATCCCGCTTACGGTTGTGCCACGTGGATAAGTAAAATCACAATTGAAAAATTTCGAAATGTAAAATCGCGAAAAGATGAAAACCATTCATTTGAAATATAATGCAACGGAAGAAATTATCAAATGCATGATTACGTTTATATACGTATACGAAGATACCATTACATAAAGCGAATGGTGAAATGTATAATACAAAATTCTGAAGTCACCACCCTTTTATTTTCGAAAATAAGTCCAAAGTAATTATTCATGATCTGGAAGTCCAATTGTCACCGGAACCCACGTCTGCCTCAGTCACTACTGTTGTTCACGACCTGAAACGTTGCGTAACAACGTCCTAAGCTATGTGCTTAGGGAGGAATTCGGGTGTAACCCGAGATTTCTATTTTTATTGAAAACGGCCAAGCAATATAGTCAATACTATAATATACAAGCGATGAGATATATCAATCAAATCAATCATCATTGAATCAATCAGCAATCTCAAACAAAATCCGTCAATCGTCTCTACGTGTATCTCACACATAGGTAAATACAACAACTCAATCATGCCTGTGTCGAATACGAGGCACAACAGTCCAAGCAAATTCGTTTGCGAGGACCTCAAGTGATCTTCATACTCCTCATCGGTCACCGATATCACGGCTCTCGGTACCGGTCATCCCCATACTCACTCCAGACATCGATCCCCGATGTCGACGACTGCTGGGCGAAGCAGCTCTATGCTAACTTCCCCTCACCAACCATCCACCTCGGAAAATACTCATCAAACCCGAGCTCAAGTCTTTCCGAGTATATCCGTACCACCTCACCGGGGGACACACGCAACTACCCGGGTCTCAGGTTTATTTGCCTATCAACGGGTGACACACGCAAACCCGAAGTCCGTTCCCTGGCCAATGGAACGTTGGCGCGGTTGCCAAAGAACCGTACTTCCTCGTCAACATATTCGGGTGACACATGCAAACCCGAATAAATGAGTCATAGGATGCCATAATCATTCTCAGGGAACGATGGCGCGATCGAAAATCGCTACAATCACAATCATGTTTCTGCGGGATAATAATAGATCCGGATCGAATATCATACCATAAAGATTTACAGTCAAGGCAATCATCGTGATATCACTGGAAACCCATTTACAATCACACACTGGACTTTATCCGAACCCATCCGAGCAAAGTCAATGCTATGCCATCTACCCTGACAAGATTCCCCAATCACACGCGATCATACATTATTCTTACCGTACACACGGTCAAGCATGATTTCTTTTAAATTTGTTCTTATTTGTTTTATTTATTTTTATGATTTATTTAATCTTTTAAATCATCGGTGCGATCAAACTAGGTTCCGACCAGTCCGGATTACCAGTTCAGCTCGTCTCGAGATTTGATACCTATCTAGTCGTGTCTTTTGATCCGAACTACTATGGTCCCGTTCGATCGAATTTATTCATATTTTGGTTAAATTTTAGTTTTAGGGTTAGATCGATTCGGTCAAATTTCGGGATCATCTATCCCATTAGTTATTTATTTATTATTATTATTTTTTTCTTTTTATTATTATTATTATTATTATTATTTTATTCTTTCATTGTTTTATATATCTTTTTTTTTAATCATATTGATCCAGTTTTTAGACCGTTCGGTCCTGTGGTTTTATTCATTTAGTAATTAGTTATTTGTTTATATTAAATCTTCTTTTTTTTTTATACATGATACATATCTAGACTTTTGAACATCAATTAATGGGCAATTCAGTCAACACAATTATTCACGAACATAAAAAGAATAATCATATATATTCAAATAACATGGATCAATCAGCAATTTTACACACATACATTCAAACTCCGAAGACAATAAAAATAAAATTTTCGAATTACATCCAAACTCACTCACCTGGATTATGTCGGTTCTTTTTCCGTGATGGTAGTTTTCTCTCGAGTCGATTAGAATTTTCTATCTCTATTAACTATTAATTATTATTATATATCTTATTATTATCATTTTATTATAATAATTTTTTTTGTATTTTTTTTGTATTTCTTTTTTTTGTTTCTCTCTCTCCCTCACCGTACTCTCTCTCCCTCTCTTGCTCTCTCTCACGTTCGAAGGGCCTCCCCTTATATAGGGGAGGTTTTGTAATTTATTTTTTTTTTAAATTTATTATTTTTTGTGGCTGCTGTTGGGTTTTCCTGGGATCTCAAGAGCGAATCTAATTCCTAAGAGATCAGTTCTAGGGTTTGCGCAGCGGATGAAAAAACAAAAATTTTGATAAAACCCTAAAACCTATCATGCATGATCTTGTAGAAACGTTAGAACGCTTACCTCAATCGATCCGGAGCCTGTATCAATTGATGTGTTCGTCCGATCACTGTAGGCAGGAAGAATACCTTGTCCTCTACACGTATCCACACGGCGGAAAGGATTCCAACGGTTGGAACTTGTCTGCTAGGACTGAAGAACACGTTCTTCTTTGCGCAAGAGTTTCAGGGATTGAAACCTCAAGTTTTTTCTCTAAAAAACCTCTCAAAAATCTGAGAAAAAGAGCTCTAAGAGTTGGGTGGCGTTCCCTTAGGTTTTAATCATATTAAAACCCTATTTTGAGTGAAACAAGGAAATCCCGATGTCTAGACCGATCGGTCCAGGCCTGGACCGATCGGTCTGGAGCTTTTAAACGTCTGGACCGATCGGTCTAGACCAATTTCCGGACCGAGTGACTCTCACACGTTACCTCTGGACCGATCGGTCTACGTCTAGACCGATCGGTTCAGACCTTCTGGACCGGTCGGTCTGGCCTCCGCTCCACCGGGGTTTTCTCGTCTCATCTCGCGCATTCGTCCTTTCCTGTGTGTGACCCTGTAGGCTCATCTGATATAGCAGTATAACACGAAATCTCTTATTTCGGTTACACAAGTCATAGGCGGTCTCTAGCAAGACACTATGACTACCTATCTCGAATAGAGTTTGTTCGTGATCATATGAACGCCAGAGATGATTCCATTTGATGATCCTTTTGTATCACGATATCATATGTCGAATATAAGGCATGGACCAACCACCTTATCTGATTCGACTGCTTTCTCGTTCACTGAGTTTGACTGTCTGAAATAGACGACGTTCGTCTATAGTTCGGCCACACATTTCTACAGTCTCGCTCACACGAGGGGCCCAGCGATATCTCTCTCTTTTACGAGAGGTACAAATCCCGTCTTGACTATCTA